AGAGAGTGAATCATGCTGTAACAATAACAGGTTATCGTGCTGTACAAAAAGTAATCAGACATAATGTCTTCCTTCCAGAAGTTTTAAATCCAGTGTGGAGATACACAACACACCACAGTAAGACAACAGAAGTAAAGGAGGGAAGGAGTAAGTATGTATGGGTGGTGGTGATATGTGTAAAAGAACAAAAAAAGGGCACCTAACCCAGTCTTGGGAATTTAGAGAGAGCTTACTGAAGGAGGTAAAATCTGAGCTGAATCCTGAAAAATGAATGGCACATACCAGCAGAGGTATGTATGGTCGGTCAAGAATGGGAAAATGAAAGAATGGGAACAGCTGATCTATCTCTAAAGGGAAATTATCGTAAATAGGACAGATAAGTGGTGACAAGGCTCTATTTTTTAAGCTCCTATAGAGTTCACTAGGAACATAGTTATACCCTGGAGATAATATGCATACACTGAATATATGCCCCAAAGACCTAAGATACTTAAAATGATAAATAAACACATATGGGTAGGAGTGCGTTTCGAGGATAGCGCTTGTTATATGTCTTTCTGAGATCAGTCTTTTCATCTGTAATAGAACTAACTTTGAAGGGCTTTTGTGAATATGCTTTTATCTTATAAGGGGTCTGTATTGTATAGAAAGAACACAGATTTAAAGCCATATACACCAAGTTTGAATTCGACTTTGTTATCTACTGCCTATGCGGTCTTGAACAAAGTACTTTCATTTCCTGGCTGTTTCTTCACCTGCAAAATGACAGTACTAATGTCACAGCATTATGAAGATTCTATAAGGCAAGGCTGATGTGTAACCAACACTCAATTAGCAAGACCAGTATTGGTGGTTAAAGTAGTGAATTATTTTCATATGAGTTGGTTACTCACTGGTTACTCAGTGACTTACTCCAATGAGCACTTTAAGTGCCCTCCTCCCCTCTCCTGAGACCCCAAGGACCTCTCCATGGTCCAGCAATTAAAGGGTTGATGGCTGGCATAGCAAATCTTGGCAAAGAAATCTACAGATATTCTGATTGCAGTGATTACTAAACAGTTTGAATATCATCTAAAAATTAGGTAAGTGAAATAAATGCTAAAGTATCCAATAGATACTCATCAAATTTATTTAATCTATGACTTCCAGTCCATGGGTTTGTTGGGAAATGGCCCTCTACTTGATGACATCCATTTATCCAATATATATTTATTAAGGCATATTATTATTGAAGGTTTGGTTGTTTGCATCTAGGTGGAACTCATTCTTTTCTCTGCCACCTCCAAGGAATAGGAGCACTGATCTAAGGCTTAAAAAAAGTGAACTCTTTGGGGACAAATTAGGAGCAAGATGCTAAGAGTTAGATCTTTCACTGTGGACAAATAGAGGAGTTAAATGTTAAAGCATCAGAGTAGCATGGTGTCTTTTATGAATCCTTGACTTGGCCCCAGGGGACTGCCTGGGTGTGGTGACATAGTGTTTTGGAAAAACTCCTCCATGTTAATCCTCTTTCTACTCACAGCACACTCACACTGAACATTCCAGGTCACCAATGTGGGGCAAAGTGGTGCAGGGGAGGAGAGGGCAGGGTTCCCACACAAAAAATTTCATGTTGTAAGCTATTAAGTTTTGGGGTTGGTTTGTTATGTAGCAATAGATAACCAGTATAGGCCCAAAGAGCCAACAAATAATAAACTGTTCTTTAGCCTAGCCTTGTTCTTCCTGGAAATAACTCCCTGGAAAACCCTTGACAGGGACGGGTATATGAGTTTCACTTTTTGATATACTTCCACAGCAGTATTTTCCTTAGTTGTCTAGCACAGTTGGCACAAAGAGGTGGGCAAGATATAAGATAATAAGTGTCATAGTATCCCAGAAAGACTTAGAATAAGTCCCTGAATCTTGCCATATATGGATATACAATGAGATTTTAGATCCAAACTCCTGTGTGGATTCCTTATTCTGGTGGACTCTATCATGGAGCAAGAAAGACAACTGTTTTCTCTATGATCTAAGGCCTTCACTAAAAGCATGTGAACAGCTTCCTAATCCCCTTTTCCATAGACTCCATATCCTGAACATCTTTTAACTCTAATTGCCAGAAGAGATACAGAAGACACTTAAGAGAACATGCACAAAGGAAAAGAAGGCACATTTGCTCCAATATGGCCTTTTTTTAAACTCCTACTAGTTCTTAGTATTATGACCAATTGTTCTTGTGTTCAGTTGACTTATGTCCTAGCTCCTCCTTCCCAGGGGTGCAGGGGCTCAATAAACAAGTAAAAAGAGAGATATTGTGAAGGAATATGAGTAAGCTATTAATCATAAGATGTCTTTAGCTGTGATGATCTGAAATATTCCATTCCCTCTTCCATGGTGGGAAGGAAAAGGTAGAAATTATGGAAAGGAAGGAAGTAGGAACCGAAGGTAGAAGGGATAAGAGAGGCAAAGAAAGAGAACGGGGCGGGGGGGGGGGGGGGAGAAGGACAGAAAAAGAGAAGTAGATGGGGAGAATGGGAGGAAGTTAGAAATGGGAAAAGAATGGGAGGAGAGGGGAATAAGTAAAAAAAAAAAGAGAGAGAGAGAGAGAGAGAGGAGGGAGGAAGAGAAGGTAGGATGAGATGGGAGGCTGGAAATACTGGGTGAGAGGAGAGGAAAGTAATAGAGGGGAAAGAGACTGGGGGTAGACAGACAGAGGCTATATCAACCCAGTTAGATAGCAAACTCCTGTTTGCTATCATTTACCAACTTTCTTGTCACTCTATCTTCAACAACTTTGTTCTCCTTTCATAGTTTCTCTCTTCACTCTAATGCTATCTGATGTAAATTTCTCCTTGGATGACAAATCTAACACCCTGGCCACCCAGTTCCAACCACAGGGCATGCTCTTGTCTTAGCCTTCTCCTCCCTCAGTCTCACCCGGCTTGGGCTCACCCTGAATCTCAACAGCATCAGCAACATACAGTCTCTGAAATCTCAATTCCATATATCCCACTCAGAGCACTGGCATCTGTACTACCAGTTCACTTGCTCAAAACCTGACTGCAGTCATTCTTCAGCATTGATGCTTCTAATACCTTGGCCCCCTTCCTGGCTCTCCTCCATGTCCCCCTCATATGCCCTTATAATGCCATCATTTGCTTTCTTTATGGTTTTGATTTCATATACATCATTGCAAACATGCTCGTGCAAACACCATGCTGGTCTTCTCTCCTTCTGTTGTTGGCAAAAACCCAACCCTGGATGACTCCTAGAATCTGTCTTCTCTTTGCCCGCACCTGAACAAAAACCTTCAGATTTAAAATCCAGGATCTCAAATACCAAGTACACTCTTAATATTGCTCAGCAGTCCTACAATTACTTTTCTTTAGAAACTTTTCCTGTCTTAAAAAAATGCCTATTTTATACCTTCTCTCCCCTCAAACATCCTACCTCAAAATCTTTATCTTTAGCTGACGTCATCTTTTCTTTATGGAGAAAATACAATTTTCAGACAGGAACTCTTCCTACTTTCTAATTTTCCTGCAACTGTGCCCTTCCTGCAACTCCTGTTGCAAAGTAATGTCTTTGTCTCTGAAGACCTTTTAAAAAATATTTTTAAAGATTTATCTACCCACGAAAGAGAAAAAAAGAGAGAGAGAGAGAGAAAGTGTATGCACGGGGGGGGGGGTTCGGCAAAGAGAGAGGAGAGAGAGAATCTCAAGCATACTCCCCACCAACCTGAGCTAAAACCAAGAGCTTAACCAACTGGGCCACCCAGGCACCCCTGTCTCTTAAAAAATTTTTAAGTCGGGCGCCTGGTTGGCTCAGTGGTTGGAGCCTCTGCCTTCGGCTTGGGTCATGATCTCAGGGTCCTGGGATGAGTCCCGCATCGGGCTCTCTGCTCAGCGGAGAGCCTGCCTCCTCCTCCTCTCTCTCTCTGCCTACTTGTGATCTGTCTGTCAAATAAATAAAAAAAAAAAAATTTTTTTAAGTCATCTAAGGCCTCCATTTGCCCCTTGGAGCCTGTCTGATTTTTCTTACAAGGGTTGCCTGTCTCCCTTTGTATCAAATCATTCCCAGGAGCTTAGACACAAGCTCTAGTACAGCACTGCCCCATAGAACTTAACTGTAGTGGGTTATGTTCTGTACGAGCGCTGTCCAACACAACTGCCAGTACCGCATGTGACCAATGAGCACTTTAAGTGTGGTTAGTGTGACTGAAGAACTTAATTTTTATTTGTATTTAATGAGATTTTTCTCACATGCTGGCAGCAGAGAAATGGAGTTGTGTGTAGTTAAGGGCTTCCCACTGCAATTAGAATATAATCCCAACTCCGTTCCATAACCAAAGGCCTGAAAGACCTGCCTGGGCCTACCTTTCCCACATTCCATTCTCTGCCTCATTTCCCACAGCTTTGGTCTCTCCATCCTGTCCCAGTAACAAGCCGTTTTAGGGGTTTTTGCACGGGCTTTTCTTTTTTTGGGACACTATCCTCGTCTTTACCTGCTTTTACTCTTTCCTATCCTTAACGTCTTGGGTTGTCACCTCTTCAGAGGCTTTCTCCGACTACCGTCTACAAATCACAACTACCCCTTGTTTTTCTTCCTCTTTTTCCCTTCAAAGCCTGTAGCTCTTTCTTCCTTCCTTCTTGTCTATCATCTGTCTCTTCTGCTGTTGGCTTGTCCAGCTCGGCTTCTTCCCCACTGGAATTTAAACTCCTGGCGAGCAGACAATAGGTTTTCTCTCGCGTGTGTCACGTTGCAGACTCCAGCATAGGCCTGTCACACACAGCTATAGATGAAGGATCTGCGCCCTGGACGCACCGCCAGCGGAGGGATGAATGAGCGGGCAAAGGCGCGGGCAAGAGAACAGATGTAAACCCACACGGAAGGAGCCCAGCGCAGCCGCTTAGGGAGCAGCGGAAGCCCCGCCTCTTCCGGCCGCGGCGCGGACACCTCGGCAGCCACGGCGGCGGGGCCGCGGCGGGCGCCGACTCGGCCCGCCCCCTTCCCCCCCCCCGCCCCGCCCCGCCCCGCGCCGCCGCCGGCCCGGCCGCTGTCAGCTCTCCTCAGCGTCGGGCCGAGGCGCTGTGTATGTTGAGCTGCTGCGGCCGCAGGCTGCTGCACGTCCTGGGCCTTAGCTTCCCGCTGCTGACCCGCCGGCCGCTTTTTTTCTGCCCTCACCGCCTCATGAAAGCGCTGGTCGTGTTCGTCCTCGGCGGTCCTGGCGCCGGCAAGGGGACCCAGTGCGCCCGCATCGTCGAGGTGAGGCCCGGGCAGCTGGCGCGCTCCCTGGGCTTGACCGGACGCCGGGTCGGCCTGTCCCGCCGCGCTGGGCGGTCCGCGCCCCTTAGGACTAAGCGGACTACGAGTCCCGGCGACCATTGCGTCGTCCGCGTGGCGGTGGTCGAAGGGTCCTGCGGCGCGCGGCCTTTCGGGACTCGTAGTCCACGTCCGCCTGCCTCGGGGGCGCCCTGAATAGAGGGGCACCGCTTGGGGTCGCTTTGTTCCCGCGCCCCTCTTTCCTTACAATTTGGGGACCAAGTTCGTCTCGAGAGTGGGCTGGGAGGGGGATCCGGGAGGATCAGCTTCTGGGGACTCCCGGCCCGCCGAGGTCAGTGGGTGGCTGGTTGTAAGGTGGGTGAAGGCAGCGGGAGCGTGGGTTCAGGTTAGAGGCAGTGTGCGCTCGCAGCTGTCTGGAGGGGAGACCGGTTTATCCACTCCGCCCCTTACCGCAAACCCTTTGTAAACACCTCCGCTAACCTAACCCTGGTCTTAATCCTGGAAAGGAACCCCGGGGGACAGGGTGTTGCTAAAGGTATTCTGTGATCTGCCCGGAGCACCTTTCTGGCCTTGTCAGTGGCAGTACCAGCTCTGAGGCTCAGCCCGGATTCGTGTGGTCGAAAAGCCGCGGAGCAGAGTAGGAGTTCAAGCTTCAACCTCTGGTCCCGCTGCCAGCTCACGCTTTTGTCGGTGGCCAAGTCACTTCCTCTCTGTCTCAGTTGCACTCTAGACCGTACGAGGATCTCCACCCAGATTTAAACTCCATGTAAAATACCTCCCAGCTCTAAAATTGTGTTTCTTTTTTTTGTTGTTACTTCACGACGTGTTCAGGTTACCGGTTCAGTTCTGTAAATTTTCCAACAGATAAACGTGGTTAGCTGCAGTAACACTGTGAGGAGAAAGGCTTATTGGAGAATCTGGGGAATGGAATTGGGAGTGAAGGAAAATAGGGTATCTAGAAACGAGAGGCGCCCAGTGGTGCTGTGAAACACCCAGACAATCCTTGTGAAACTCGGTGACCACAAAAGTTTTGACCCAGAACTCTAAAATAATGCCCTCCTCTGTTCCAGGACGTGGCTTATATTAGCTTTGGGCTTTCATTCCTCTCCTATGTACCTACAGTCCACGCCTGTCCTATATTTTGTTCTCTAAAGAGCATCCAAAGTGAAGTGGTAACATCTACTTCATTAGTGTTTTACAGCTGTCTTAATAATTCCTGATCATTTTTAGGAATGAAAGTGGGGCTAATTAAACAAAAAAACTCCACATAAATATTTGTCTTATTTTTGTTGGTTCTTTTAACTTTTTAAGACAAGTGGCAATTGAGTGATTTCAGGTTTGTTTTATTTTATTTTTAAAAAGATTTTATTTATTTGATAGAGACAGCAAGAGAGGGAACACAAGCGGGGTGGGGGGCGGCGGTTGGTTGGGGGTGGGAGAGGGAGAAGCAGGCTTCCCGCTGAGCAGGGAGCCCCATGACCTGAGCAGAAGGCAGAGGCTTAATGACTGAGCCACCCAGGTGCCCTTGTTTTGTTTTGTTTTCTTTGTTTTTGTTTTTAATGTCTGAGATGACTCTTACATGTATATAACATAATAGGGGAAGGAGAAGAGATTTCAGAGCCAAACAGATATGGGTTCAAACCCTAACTCTGCTGTTTACTGTTTCTTTTCTTTTTAAGATTTTATTTATTTTTAAGTATCTCTATGCCCAACATGGGGCTTGTACTCACAACCTGGAGATCAAGAGTTGCATGCTGTACTGAGCCAGCTAGGTGCCCCCCATTTACTGTTTCTTTAGACCCAGGGAGGTTGTTACTTTCAGTTGGCCTTCCTCTGTGAAAAGAGAGAAATAATACCTGTCTAGCATGGTAGTTGTGAATGTTAAATGAGGTAAAATAGGGGCACCTGGGTGGCTCAGTGGGTTGAAACCTCTGCCTTTGGCTTGGGTCATGATCCCAGGGTCCTGGGATGGAGCCCCCCATCTGGCTCTCTGCTCAGCGGGGAGCCTGCTTCCACCTCTCTCTCTCTCTCTCTCTCTCTCTCTCTGCCTGCCTCTCTGCCTACTTGTGATCTCTGCCTGTCAAATAAATAAATAAAATCTTAAAAAAAAATGAGGTAAAATATCTGGCACACATAGATACAGATGATTTTTTTCCTCCATTTTAGACTTCCTGTTCTGAATTTATGAAGATAGTTATTTCTACTTTGAAGTAGTATTACTTTAAAAATTGGTTTTTGACAGCTATATTTGAATGCATTTAAATATTATGTTTCTGAATCATAATGTGGCTTTAAATATCCACATCCAAACTAATAATACTCAAATTACTCCACTGCTTTAAAAATAATCTACACATTCTGTAACTAGTGTTTATTCTTTACTCAGTTCAGTAATGGCCGATAATGTTTTAAACCTGTTAATTATCAACCCTAAGGTTTCCATGATTATTTCCTAATGTATTATTCTTTAATATTTTGGCAATTATATAAGCTTAAGTTGTTTTAAACTGTCATCTTCTTTCACGAAAATAGTTGCTCTTGATTCCCGTTGCCATAAACAATTAAGTTAATTTCTACAAATTCCATATAGTTTATAATTTAGCAATTGCTATCTCCTAACTGACTAAATTGAACAATGGAATGTCTATGAACAGTTTAAGTCAGAGGTGTTCCCCCCTCAAGAGTCTTTTGTGTTTTGACTCAATTTTTTATTTGATAGGCAAATATAAACTGAATTCTAAACAACTGTAATTCTGGGGACTAAGTTTTTTTCTGTAAGGAAAAAGTTCTGTAACTCAAGGTTAAATTCCCTATCATGCCAATGCTAATTTAACTCACAGGTACCTGAAATGTAGCTGAAATAAATTTGGGGAGGTGGGGAATTACACTGATTTCCAACTCAGGCTGCCAGAAGTACCTATTTGGGCCTGGCTATAGAATCTGAGACTATTTGGCCCTCCAGTATCCTAGGACATTGCGGTTAGTGATGAGTGTATAACGGGAGGGAAGCTGGATTGTAGGTATATATGTATTTATTTATTATCTATTTCTTTCTTTTCTCCCTTCTCTCCCTCCTTTTCCTTCCTTCTTTCCTTCCTGGTGGTGAATTTTACCTCTGCTATTTACTCTCCCAGACCTTGAGGAAGAAAAGGCAAATCTGATGCAGTATTTTCTGAAACTGTTCTGAACTGGGATGGGAGGATTTGAGGGAGATTTGGGTTTTGACTTTGCCCATTTATTTGTACTGGTCTTCCTCAGTTTTATTTTCTAACTAATTGTTTCTAAATCTGTGTCCTCTTGTACTCAATTTGTTTTTGAAAATTAGTGGTTTTCTAAATCAGTGCAGTCCTTTCAGAGTTAAGCACTTAGAGTTATTGTGGAATAACTTGTTACTAAAAAACGACAGGGATACTGTGTCATTTTTTTAATTTCTAAAATTAAGCTTTATTTTATTTTGGCCCAAGAAAAATTTTGGTGCCATAACCTAAATTTGTCTTTCAAAATAACCACAATTTTGCATGTGTTAGCTGGAAGGATATTTAAACCTCCTCTCTCTTTTTTAAAAGCTTTTTTATTTATTCATTTGAGACAGAGAAATACAGAGAGTGCATGAGCAGGGGGAGAGGGAGAGAGACACAGGCTCCTCGCTGAGCTGGGAGTCCCATGCAGTGCTGATACCAGGACACTGAGATCATGACCTGCGCTCAACCATCTGAGCCACCCAGGTGCCCCTTAAACCTCCTCTCTTTTAAAGATTTGCTTACATAAACAAATTATGCTAAAGCTGATCTCAATGCCAGATTGCTTTCTTTAGTACCCCAAAAGCATTCTTGTCATCTTCTGTGTCATAACTTTCTCCATGGACCATGCGGGTAACTTGTACTTTGTATGGTCTTCCTACCTACTGTGCTTAGAAATTTTGGGATGCTATTAACTTTAAGCATGTAGAAATCAGAGAGTTAATTTTATTTGACATTGTGTTTCTAGTACTGAACATTGTGCCTGGCATGTAGTATGGGCTTAGTAAGTATTTTTTGAATTAGTTTTAGAGGATGCTGGTTTGTCCTAAGATGTAAAAAGTTTTAAAATTTGGTCCCCAGGGGGCGCCCAAGTAGCGGTTAGCTCTCCCAATTCCAGGACAAATGCTTGAATGAGACCTAGCTTTGCCATACTTAGATTTCTTTTTAAAGATTATTTATTTATTTATTTGACAGACAATGAGACAGGGAATACAAGCAGGGGGAGTGGGAGAGGGAGAAGCAGGCTTTCCACTGAGTGGAGAGCCGGATGCTGAGCTTGCTCCAAGGACCCTGGTATCATGACCCGAGTCCAAGGCAAACACTTAAGGACTGAGCCACCCAGGCACCGCTGAGTTTTGTTATGTAACACTTCTGCTTACTCTCCGTGAATAAATGGTATGGTTGTGAAGATCTGCTGACTATTCTAAAATATCCAAGCTCCTGATTACAAATCGCCAAAGCAGATTATGGCTCATAGAAGAAGCTTGATAGGAAGATTTACTAAACATTCCCTTGTTTAAGAATAAGCCTTTCTCTCCTTTTGGGGGGACAGGATAGAGTAAGAGATAAGTTTTTTTTTTTTTTTTAATAATAGAAAGTTAAATTATCTGTAAAAGAGTCCACAGAATTCTTGATTCTTCTGAAGTACCTACCACCTTTCTATTAAAGGTGGTTGTAACTTAGAATTTTTTTTTTTTTCGGTTAAGAACTTTCAGGAGGGGAGAATGTATTGAGATATTACCATCACTACTTTTGAAAACTTTCCTTTTTTTTCTTTCTATTTTAAATTACAAAAGTAATACATAGTTGTTTGGGAAAAGTAAAATCCTCTCTAATTCTGATGCCACTCATGTTAGCTCTCTGGTTTTTACTGCTTCCCCATCTCTTTCTCAATATTCTTAGAAATAAAAATGCTAGTGTATATATATGTATTTTTTTTTTTTTACCTCCAGATGGAATTCT